CGCAGAGCTGCATGAGCCTGTATGTTTCAAGTCAGGTCAACTCAAGTCAAAATAAGCTTTTTGTACCCTAATGGATTCATTTTCAACATTTACACCACCACTGCGGACATCTGTATGATAAAGTCAACCAGTATACTTGCTTGGAGAGAAAAGTGAGGAAAATGCACCACTGTTTTTCCAACAACCGCTCGCGCAGTATGTTAGTGACTTCCGCTGGGTCAACAAGCAAACGTGATAGACAAGGCAAAACACTATTACGAGACGATGAGGTGCAGGAGGATAAAATTCTGTATTTCGTACGGGTAGAAAAAAAGAGCCTTTTGGAAAGATCATTATGAAGTGAATGAAATCGCTTAGTTGCTACCTTATAAGAATAATCATTGCAAGTATCAAGATGTCTAGGAATGATCAAATCAACTAAAGAATCCCTATGCAAGCCACTGCATCTAGCAATGTGCTTTATAGACCGCACCAATAATATGTAGTCTTTCAGAAGCAGTCCAGGGAAATGACTGGAGAGCAGTATAACCAATGGGGAGTAATGCATGAGGTCACGAAGTACGAGGTACTGAAAGCACCTTAAGTCTGAGGGCATAAAAAGAAAGGTTTCTGACTTCTTGAAAAGTTTTACAGACATGCGTGACCCAAGGAAGGTTCTGGGACAAAAATACGCCAGGATACTTGACAGTAGAAGAACTGAATATGGGATTTTCATTCACAGTAAGAGTGGGAGAGAAATCCATGAGGGACTACAGCTTATCGCCACGGAGGAAAGAAAATATTACGTATTGCATTTGGAAGCATTAAGTGTAAGAGATCTGGATGAAGACCATTGCACCAGATTTCCCAATGCACGTTGAAGTGATGAAGACTCCTGATTAGTGGGGACATACATCCCAGCACAACATGATCAGCATATTTACGCATATGGATTGTGTAGGGAGATGTTCAGCATACAAGGAAAATAGAAAAGGTGGTAGAATCGCTCCCTAGCGAACGCTACAGTCGCCACGGAGGACAGAGGATTTCTTACCGTTTAACTTGGTGAAGTGAGTACAATCCGTAAAATAGTCACCTAACAGATTACCCACGCCCGGGTGAACTCCATTTCCGGATAGCAGGTTTAGTAACATTGACTTATCCAAGCTTCTAATGGCATTCGAATAATCCAGGAAGAGAAGCCATATGGATTTATATTTTTGATCTAATACCGAGGCTATAGAATGAATAACATTTGCCGGGTATCTAACGGGTACGATATTCGCACGACTCCAATCGGACGGGATTGCTTCGGTGGTCCACACCTTTTGGAGGATGGAAGTTAGCTCCCCAACAAGTGATGGACCTCCGTCTTTGAAAATAGCCGGAGGGAATTCGTCCGGGTCAGAGGTTTTGTAGCGCTTTAGGAGGCAAAGATCATGAGCAACCTCAGCCTCAGAAGGTGGTGAAGCGTCTACACACCAGGGAGCACCACGGATTCCTGAATGAGGGATCACCGGTGCTGCAGACCATTTCAACTGCTGCTCAAAATGCTCATCCCAACGCACAAGTCGACGTTGTTGGCAGTGAATTCGCTCGCCATTGGTTTCGCACAAAACTTCACTTACAGTCGGCCTTTTGCCGCCAGTGGATCGGATCAGATGGAAAAGCTTTCAGAAATTCCCTGAGCTGTCTGTCTGCTCCATATCAACGACCCGTTGCGTCCACCAGGCCTCGCGGTCTTCCCTGAGAATCTGTTTGAGTTCAGCGTTAGTGGTCCTGTGTAGTTAATGATACTCAACACCAGCTGTAATTGTCCGACGAGCTTCGAGAAGTTGGAGAGATAGTGCAGAGATCCAGTGATTGACAGGACTACTGGTGAAGCCACAGACCAGGGTCGCAGAGTTGTGCATGACGCTGCGGATGTGTGACCAGTGCGTTTCAACCTCTTGAGATTTGAGGCCAACGTATCCTGAAACGCGCTGAGAACGCTTAGCACAGAAAGTTTGGCTACGTCTAGCCGTTTCCGGCGACGCCGTTGGGAGCCACCAAAAAGTAAATCAATCTTGGCACACACGAGTGCGTGGTCCGATTTGCAATCCTATATGCAGCCCCGTCAGCGATAAATTTTGGTGCTGTGGTCAATTTGCGTCCATGACTAGCCAGGTGACGGGGGCCTCAGGGCCTTATTCTACCCCTACGCCGGCAAGACCAGCGGCGTCGGCAATTTCGTCTCCAGATAAGCGCAAGGTGAAAATGCCAGTGGAACTCGCAGACGGCAAAACCAGTCGTGCTAGGGTCCTGTACTCGGGTTTCAGTGAGGCTGCAGACATGAATGTCATTAGTCTCAAGCGTGCGAGCAAAGGCTGCTTTTGATCCGATCTGCATCAGTGTCCGGATGTTAAAAATTACCGGCTTGAATTGGGAATGGGTCGCCAGAAAAGGTTTGCCAGTTTTGCTTGGCGACACATCCTGGCACATAAATTCCTGATCCTTATGGCGAGAACATACCCAAGGCGGTGCGATGTTGTGGACTCGGAAACGAAAGGGAATTACCAAGGATGGTGAAATTGAACAAACGTGGAATAAAGTAACCAAACTGTGGTGCGGTAGAGCGCTATCTGACATGTTCGGCCGTCAGCACCTCGGCCGAGAGAGCATTGGCAAAGAGCAGAGAGAGAAAGCAGAAAGTCGTTGAAACATTGGTCCATATGTTGTGTGGGCATGGTACTTAACAGTTGACAGGCCGAGGAAGAGGGTTGACTTAAGGGACCCCATCCCGAGTCTTTGGTCCCAAAGGCCTGACCCGCAAGGCAGCAGGGCGATTAACGAAGACCGTTGACATCCTGGTAGCTCATTCGCCTTCTTTGTGTTCATTAGCAGTCCACGGAGAAGCCGGTGGTCAGTGACCCTATAGCTGGTCACATTGGTTTTGACACAGCGTCTTAGGAGCTCTTATAGTATTTTATTAGAACCCAGGTAACCAGGCCAGAACCACCCATGCACTAGTACACTGCCGCTGATTGTCCGCGACTGCCTATTCTTCTCGCCTGCGAACAGCCGAGACTTATTCCCAGTTAATTTCACAAGGAAGATGTTCCCTGATCTGCAACCTGGGAGCACGCCCGGTGGCGTACTGCTCCTCCGAATCAACCACTAATCAGCTCACTTTCGGGAATTATTGCGTAGTGACGTCACAATTCACGTAAGCTCGCCTTTTGCTACGCCTTGTGAAGGCAACTAAGCAGGAATACCTTTTTTAAAAAGTTTCTATCAGTCATAAAATGCACACCTTTTAGCAATTGAAGATTATTTTTCGATCGTTTCCCCTTAATGAATGATGGTGTCGTTCAGTTGTATCTTCGTTTCGCACCGTTTGGTCCGTGCTATTTCTCTCCCCTTCGACGTTTGTCCTCGATCCTGATTACGTTCAAACTGAACTGCGCTTTCACCGCGTTCGTTGATGTGGAATCCGTCCCTACGGTCGACCACCTGCTTAAGCGCTACAATTCGCTTGGAAGGTTGAGCAACGCATTTCCACTGGGTCGGATCAATACCAAAAACAGAACTAGCTAACGGCACCATTAGCAATACATACGTGGACTTTACTACTTTCGACTCAAGTCAGCTAGAATGACAAACACTTCAGTCCGAGTGCCAACGAGCTAGGCGTCTGAGCGACCGAGATACGAAGTGATCACGCCACAATACACAGCGCTCTTATGAGACAAGTGAACTGATGCGATGGGTAAATTGCGCGAATTTAACGAGGGCTTGGAGAGCGCTAAAGTGGATGGAGGTCAGTCTCTTTGTATCACTCAGCGATGTGGTCACCGGTGCACTGGTACAGAGGATGAGGTCTATAGCTAGTCTATATAGATTCGGAACAAGTGTAGACACAAGTGACGTCATGGAAAGGTGAAGTGATCTGTGCATGCAGTTCGTAGGCAATTTCATGAAAGGCTGGGTGATAACTGTGTTAGCGAGTGGAGGATGGAACAGTAGTTTGGAGATCGGGTCTGTTGTTTATAAACACAAAGTAGGGTTGACATGTTTGGATAGTAAACATTGAAGGTATTTGTAATCGCGGCGTTTTTTAAGGCCTCTGCAAGTGATGGTCTTGAGAGCACTTTATATTTAATGGTGCAAACATGTGCCAAAAGATGGGAATGCTCCGGAATGTTTGTCACGCGGGAATTTTGTGGCTTTTTAGTCATGGCAGTTTAGTCCGTTAAGTCCGGATCGTCCTGTTTTCCACACGAATAAGCCACATTCCTGTATGGTATGATCCCAAAATGGAACACTGCTGTAGTCTGCGATACAGTTGTATAGTGATAGGGTAATGCGACAACCCTGGAGAACACCATTCTTAGCGAAAAACGTTCACCAATTCGCCATAGACGCTGATACGCCCTGTTTTGTCTGTGCACATGACAGATGTTCACATATCCCATAAGAACGCCATCTTGCAGGGTTCTTCTCTACAACTTATTTAATCTCCTTACTTTGCCAATACACTATGTTGTCGCATGCCACCTGAAGTGCTACTCGCCCTAGTCTGCATTGTCATTTGACCAAGCACCGACTGCGTATCTCCCTCTTCTCCTTTTGTATGCTTGGGCGAGCTGACGGCACCAGGAACACATTGTATCCCCCATAGGATGATCGGTAACGTCTTGTAAGCACGACATCCCGCGGCGTCGATGCCACTGTCACTAGTCACTTTACCTACCTACTTTTTCTTCCAGTTGAAAATGTGTGACGTTGATGTTCTCTGTCAAGGCTGCATGTTGCACAATTAGTTTTGTCCTTGTTTGGACTCCTCAAGCAACGGTGACTAGGCTGCCTGACTCGTCATTGTACTATCACACCTCTGTTGCGCGTGCCACCGTCTCTCGGTTCTGTCTCACTATTCCATTTCTTGCAGCTCAGCATTGGTGCCTATGCGTGAACACCACATTGCATTCTAACCGATTACCCGTCTTCTCTCTTTAATACACTTGATACCTGTTTTGTTACAGTTCGACGATTGCGAATCGTTCGCCGACCAGCTCATGTGTCCCATGGACCAGCCGGTCAAAGTGGTCGCTATTGTTGGCAACACTGGTGACGGGAAGTCGTACACCATGAATCAGAGTTTCTTCAACGGAAAGAAGGTGTTCGCCACCTCTCCCACACAAACCACCTGTACAATGGGCGTATGGGCTGCTTACTTGCCTTCCAAACGATGCATTTTACTGGACACCGAAGGTGATTGCATTGGTGCATAGTCTTTTTTCCTCCCCCTTCACCTTGAATCCATTCTCATTTTTGTCATTACGATGTTACTCATATTCATCTACTCAATTTCTTAGCTTCTCCTTACTAATTTTCTGTGCGGTTAACCTCGGGTCTCTTCGATCCCACAGATAACAAGACATTATTATAGCACTGAACCTACACGCCACCGAACAGCCAATGAAGGTGCCCGATAAGTTCATTTACTTAGGCTGTTGTGTCATCCTTGGTGGTTGCATCACGCACTAGAAACTACGTGTGATTTTCCGAAGTCTCCACCATATTTTTACGCTGCGGAATATTGATCAAGGGCACTTCACACCACTGCGATAATTTTGGTCTGCGTGTATAGACCAGAAACACAGCCACTTGGCGCTGCTCACTTGTGCTTGCGGAGTATTACTTATACCTGTTGGCGCGCCAGATGAGCATCACTGTAGTCCATTAGTTCGTGTTACGGAAAATCCTCTTATGCTGCACTGAAATGTCTGCCATACTTGAAACATTTTCGTTACTTCAGGTTTCCCGTAAGTCGGTTGACCATCTTCACTGCGCTGTCCATGCAATGCTAATTTATATCCTTGGGCTCACGAGGCACACCCTATTCAGCATTCGCAATATTTTGCTGATTTTCGCATGATATTCACCTGATAGACTAAATGTTAGAAATGAAGATCATAATTTTATCAACGGTGGCTCTCCAGTTCAAAGCTCTAACTAGCTATAGGTTACTTCATGGCGTCGTCCTAAAGGAGAGCACCGTGTACGAACAGAACCCGCCTTTCTTTTCTTAGGGTGAGAGATGAACTGCGATTTTGTGGTGATAAGAGGAACATTAAAACACAATTACAACATATTGTATATAGCACCTGATCTCAGCAAATAATTTCTTATACGCTCTGCCGTTCTGCAAAGCAATGGTGTGAAAGGAGAAGGTATTATTTTCACGTTAGCAGCTGAGACAACCATAATAAGGGGAGATTAGTTGGTTTTGTGGATGAGGCGTTTTAGTTTAACTGTGCGCCAGGTGTATGCGAGTAGGAGGAGCAATGGAAAAAGAATTTGGGAAATAGGGATGAAGATGTGGGAGTCGGCATCGGTTCTCTTTTCCTTATCACTTGGCAAGTTTGCTTGAGGGCAACAGGCTGGATGGAGTGCAGACATGGAAAAACACTCTGTAAAGTTCGAGTGGGTACCATGATTTGGGCTAGACACACATATTAGCTGCGGATAATCAGTGTTCAGATAAGTACCAGTGGACGATCGCTACCACCGGATATTTTGCTTTACAATTTTGACATCTACACTGGAAGTCAGGAGGGTCCGAATGTATCTTGCTCAGTGTCACAGAAGGAACGAATTCGCAGCCACGGCGATGAACTGATCGGCTACGGATATCCGTGGTCAAAATTGAGATGAATTCTAATAGGAAATCATTTGTCATTTTTCGCGGGAAGTGTTAATGGAGCCCGTCCATAGCAGCTCTCGGAACCGGTACTTTCGCTAGCAGCCCTGAAAAGATTAGCTCGACGCAGTTTAAAGTTACTTGGCTAGCCAGTGAGAGCGATTTATTTTGCAGTTCACCAATGTGAATGTCTTGCATTAAAGTCCCCCTGTGAGCGCACTACTTGAGCAACCAACAAGCGAATTTTCAGTTATCATGAACTTGCTAGAACCTAAGTACTTTCAGCTAAGTCATCCTCTCATGAACTGTTCATTTAAACCCATCATTTGATTGTATATACTGTTTGCCGTGTGCTCTATAGAAGCTTTGCCAGAGACCTTTGTCCTCTGATTTGGAATTGGCTGAATCGTGTCACGAATAGCTGCATCGATTACATTGGTCAACAACAAAAACTTTTTCCCAATGTCGAGGGTATTCCAACGAAACTATAAAATCACATTCTCTTCAAAGAACCGCTTGATGCTCTGGCGGTCGCAGAAAATAATCAATGGCGCCCTATCTGCTGCATCGAGTAGGGTGGATAGGGATGAGAATCCTACTGCTTAGGCTTTCTCGTCTTCTTATTCCCCCTCATACTCTTCTTCATTCTTATCGTCCCGTTCCCACTTTATTTTTATCCCCCCCCAATTTTTAACCCTCCCCATCTTGTTGCAGTAGGCATTTGTCTTCTAGTTTCAACTCACACGCAATCACAGGGCATTGCTCCGGTTCAGTCGACTGGTCCATATCCAGCCGAAGGGACGACGTCTGTTCATTTGTTTCTATTTAGACCCCTCGATCTTCGCTAAGACTCTCATGCGTCAATGTGCGCACTTTATTACAGATTGGCCAACAGGCAGCACTTGCCCGGACACTAGAGACTTTATCGATAGACCTCTGCTGTTTATCACAACCCTGTCTGGAAGATTCGAGTACAGTACTTACCCTACCATCCCCAACATGCGACGCAGGCGGTATTTTCTCATTGCGCTTGTCCGAGGATTGCGCAACTTCAAATGCTAGTCAAACCAGTGGGGGCATTGTTCTGAGTCCCCGGGTTGAACTTACTCTGATCGATTGGATCCCAGTCAACAGCCTGATGTGCGCCGTCAGATTGGCTGGCCAGCTCAAAGCTTCGAAGTCGCGCGCGGACTACCAGTGCCAGTTTGTCATTGCGGCCTACGCCACAACAAGCTGTAGCACTACCACGGTGAAAGATGATTTCTATCAACAACTGAACATGCATCTTCGTTACAGAAAAAGTACTGATACTGTGGTACTTGCTGGTGATCTGAAGGCCCAAGTTGGAAAAGTGTACACCGATGAGCTGCATTTGCGCGGCCAACGTGGTGTACGCTACCCGTGATGACAACGGCGAGCGGTTGCTACACTTATGTGAAGATGCTCGTTTCTTTCTCGCGAGCGCTGACTTCCGATACAGCACTTGCCGGTGGCATGGCGCCCACCAGTAATGGACGCAAATCGGTCAATATCTTACTGCTGGGGAGGCTGCATCCAAAACTGCCGTTTGATTTGAAGCACGAGTGTGGACTCCGAGGGTAGTGTCCCACCAGTCTGTATATAAAATGGATGTGAGGAAGGGCTTTTTATGCAATTATTTGTGTGGAAACACATTTAACTAACATTTATAAAGTGGGCAATAGCTTAACGCATTAATTTTTCTTCCAGTTACCGAGAATGCTTTGTATTTGTTTTAATGAACGCTTTTTGAGATTCTGTATATATATATATATATATATATATATATATATATATATATATATATATTCATCAAACATGTCCGCTTTTACCATTTTCCATCCATCGCAACGGAGCAGTTATTTGCGTTCACACTAAATTGTGTTCTCTTATTTAAATGCATACTGAACGATTTGTTGGTGGAAATTCTGTAAAGCAACATAATATAACTGTCCATTGTTGGTAATAGGACATCAAACCTTCATGCTACTGGAATTATTCTTTTCTATATTATTTGTATTTAAGTTTTCGCTCTGCAGACTGGTGAAACACTGCCAACTCCGACCACGCCCTTGTATGCGCCGACATGCGGGTGCGTTTCGTTAGGCGTCCACAACAGCGCTGTGAGCGCATAGGCATTCACCAACTGGCGCCGCCAGATGTTCTCAATGTGTACCAAAGTACGCTGGCATCCGGGCTGAGTAAGCACCCACCGAACACCGTTGGATCACCGGTTCCATAATTGTCAAACACTGATATCAACAGGCATTTCTTTATGTGGCAAATCAAATTGCCAACATAGGCATTGGGTTTCTACAAAGTCTCTGGAATTTATGGATGCTTGCCGACGTATTCCGGCTAGATGCGAATACAACGAGAGTCATAGACATGTTAGGGCGAAACTGCGTGCTAGCCTGAAGAGAGACCGCGAGGCCTGGTGCTCACATCGTGCATCGGAAATAGAAACAGCCGCTGTCATTAGTAATCATCGTAACTTATTCCGTCTGATACGGGAAACAGGCAGCAGGAGACCCGGTGTTAGCGAGACAGTACTCGACGAGAATGGACGGGTTATCCACAACCTGACAAAACGTTTGGAGCGTTGGGCCGGACATTTTGCAAGGCGGTTTAATCATTTTGACTTATCGCTTTCTTTTTCGGGCATTGGGCGCCCTTCTTCATGGGTCGCCTCCTTAGGTCCGCCCTCACGCGCTGAAGTTGAACGCGAGATCAGATTTTTGAAATTGCATAAGGCCGCAGGGTCAGATAGAATTTCCCCAGCCCTCTTCGAATTCGGGCACCTACTCTCGTATATGATTTACACGAGTTACTAGTGAAACTGTGGGAGCAGGAAACCGTCCCAACAGACTTTAGCCGCCCCGTCTTACTCCCACTTTTCCAGCGTGGCTCCTGTCCCGATTGCGGCAATCGTAGAGTGATCAGTCTAATCTTAATTGCTTCCAAATTGCTTGCGTCTGTCGTTCTCCACAGACTGACGCGCTCGTGAAGCTCAGGTTCGCGTGCGGCAAGCCCGGTTTCGTGGAAATCATGGCTGCATCGGCCACACCTTCACCTGCTCCAATAACCGGAGCACCGCGATGTTTATTCGCGACCCACCGTAGTCGTGTTCCTAGCCATCTAACGTGCCTTTGATTCGATGGCTCGATGTGCTCTTTGGAACTGTCTACTCAGTAAAGTGCCCGTGAAATAGATAACTATTATCCTAGCGTTTTACGCGCGTACCTTGAGTATAGTGAGAGTTTACGGCAAGCTTTCGCCGGTCTTCAATGTCTCCAGCGGTTTGTGACAAAGTTGCGCGCCGTCACCTTTCCACGTTAAATTAGCCATTTACGAAGTCATGGAAACGGCGTTCGCCAGCCACAGCTAGGGAGGTGTGTGGCTGCTCCATTGTGATGGACTTCTCGACTTGGAGTATACCGATCACATTGTTCTCATCTGTGACAGCTCCCGAACGTGCCATGTTGCACTAGATGTATTGGCTCTGGCTGTCAGCCGCTTCGGACTATGCTTTGCATCGTCGATATGCGAA